AAATCACCTGATATCAACACTGTGAGAAGAGATGTGTGCAGAAACATTGTTCTCAACCCATCTCTCAGCAGCACTCATGTCATGAGCAATTGTGGCTAGCATGTCATTGGGAATCCCAACCATGACCTCAATCCCTGACCCACTAAGTGCTCTCAAAGCCCCATCGTCTGCATCAAACAGCTTCACTTTCTCAATCCCATTGTCCTTCAGCAGCTTCACTATGGTTCGCGGCGGCAGGGGGTGGCTGGCCTGAGTTCCCCAGTTCACCCCTATGCCATCCACGTTATTTCCAACCATGAAAAGCAATAAAACACAAGCTGAGATTTCCAGTGCAAATGCACAGTTGTTGCGCAGATGACCCATACAAACACTTTTACTGTCAAGACAACCTCAAGAAAATTCAATTAAGTAGGGATTTTTCAGATCGTTAACTATGGACTCAAGATTAGCTTGTGAGTTTTACTGACTGTGAGCTATCATCCTCAGGGGCAGAGGTGGAAAATTCAATCTAGGAAGTAGGAAGAGAAGTGTGGAAACAAGACAACCATGTATGTACAATGCAAGATTTTAGAAAACAAAAGACAACATATATATTTTGAAGAAAGTGGAAAGCAGTTTCTGGTTTTATGATTCTGAGTTATATGTTGGAGCCAGACAGAAGTCCGTTAAAGAATAAAGACAAACAACGTGAGTACGTGGCACCCGTCATGAGTATCATAAATATAAAAAAGAGCATCGAGGGGGAATAATGCACATCAATTAACTTTCAAGTACAGGACACACAAACATAAAATAGTTATGTGTTATCCAGAAGTTTAACCTAAAGTTGATATCTTTTTTATTCTTTTCTCCAAAGTAACAGGTATTGCGGTTCAGTGGATGGAGCAATTTAAGCAAAGATTGGGTTTTGTGAGTACCTTTTGGCTGTCCTGTCTCAGAGGTGGTGGCCGGCTCAAGAAAGGTATCAGAAGAAGTACTTTGCTTAATGAGGTTCAAATAAAAACTGTACCTTCAACTTTAAAACACGTGTAAAGGACAAGCTCTAATACACAAAAAACGAAAATAACCACATGAACCCTCACTGGCATTGGGGGATATCAAAAATCTCTCTATTCGATTACTTGGAGTATTTGTTATTCTGAATTGGAGTTTGGCTGATTGGCAATTTGGAGGTTTTTAAGGGAAAACAAAACTAATTGTTAGTTATTGTAGGGCTCGATCATTTTCTTGATAGGACAAGATGAGGTGCTAATGTTAGATTACAGGAAGGATCAAGAAACAATGCATGAGAAATTGAGAATGTCGCACAAGAATGCATGATGAAATGGCATACGCTCGCTGTCCTGCACCAGTTTTCAGTCTCTCACCTCCTATAGATTGTAACGATTCATTATAATGACTCGATCATATCCATTTTAGGTTTCTTCTAAATATAGGATTGTATTGTATAACTTCAATTAATCAATGAAAAACATTCTCTTTACACACTTTAAAAGAACTAGTAAATGTACGTGCGATGCACGTAGTGGTGAATGTTTTATGCCAATTAAGTTTGGTAAAATAAACTAACTAATTTATTAAACATATCATTGCAAAAACGGAAAAAAATGTACAACATGTGAGCTCATAATATTTTTTTTCTTTTCAAAAATAACATAATGATGTCATAATGATATGAAAAGAATGAAATACAATATTACAACTCAAACAAAAATATATGAAAAATGAGTCACTAATGGAAAAAAATATTAAATAATTAAATAAGGACCTAATGTATATTATAGAAGCATTAGTTCTTTTATTTATTTACATTAAATGATTCAAAAGTGATTTTCCAATAAGAAATATTCATACCTATTTGAGCCCAATATATCAATAGTATTGCAAAATTCTTCTTAATTAACTTGGCAAAGTGTTTATTGTATTCAAACATTTACAAATATTTTGTCCAAACATATAGTCAAATTCATGATTGTATAATCTTTAAAAGATATTTCTAATAACAATTTATTCATCAATCTATTTACAGTTTATGTATATCTTTGTGAAATAGTCAACTTTGTCATTAAAATTGTTGATATTATTTTTCGTCATTGTATGGACCACTTCACTACTCTCTCTCTCTCTCTCTATCTCTCTCTCTCTCCATATAGACAAATTGTTACCTACCTCATGAATGCATAGCCCCATAGGATCAGAATGAATTTCATCTCCAAATAAAAGTTGATTTTCCCAAATCTTGGTTACGTGTACTTCTGCCGAGTCGCTAAGTTATTTTTTGAAATCATCACATTACAGAAAAGTAAAGTATGTACTCTAAAGTAATTGCACATATGTTCGAGCACAATACACCAATGAGAATGTAAATATTCCTATCAAAAGTGACAACTTCATTCAAACATTCAAAAATGTTTTGATTAGGCTCCGACATTCACTTTTCAATGTTATTTATTTGGAAGATAGACGAACTATATAATCATATTTTTGGAAGCCCATATTATCATCTCCTTAGGGTCTCTGCGCCCTATATATACACCATATATATCTTGGGCACGACGGCGACCCTAGTATCCCAATCGAGATTCTCTCCGAGCTTGTTGCCCACGAAGACAATCGGAGAGGTGTCGAGTAATACAACATAAAGCTCTGAGGTTGACGAGGCCTCGCTACCGTCCGTGCACCACTGCACGCGTTCAGCCCAGCCTCAGCCGCGCACCCAATCCGATGTCCGCGACACACCGCGTGCAGCCCTGACGCACGCACATGCCGCGCACGATCCGCGAATAGCCGAGCACACCACGCGACATCCGCGTGTACGCAACCGTGCCCTAATCGCACGACGCACGACCAGCGGTGCTCAGGCCGACGATCACCGGCAGTTCCGAGCTTCCAGCGAAAATCGGTTTTGACGAGTGGACTCAGGCGATCTCCTCCAATTTGAAATCTACAACGTCTTAGAATCTGCGAAATTTTAATCTGTAAGTATTCTACGCTAAACCTTAGTTCTATGCTCATTGGTTTAAATTGTAGAATTTAATTCGTGACCTACACATAGCGATGATCTTTACCGGTCCCTTCACAGAAGATTTATTTCGACGAGTTTCGGGGGTCGCAGGATTATTAAGACGACATTGAGGCCAATACGGCGTTAAACATGAGCTGGCTCTCATTCTGCATCGAGAGCGACAATCAGAGCCTTGATGACCTGAGGGACGTTATGCTCTAAAAGCTCATCGCCTCGGTCTTCCGACTAACTTTGAATTGATGGTCGTTGCTCCTGAGGAGATTGAGTTCGACAAGCTTAAGGGCGGTGGTCCTTCCAGCTCGACCGTGGACATGGTTTCTGAGAGCCCGGCTCCCCACGAAAGTCCTATGGTGATCTTGTCGGATGACGAGGATGCCGACATGAAGGACACGACTGGTAGCGAGGTCGCGCCGACCGTCGAGACTGAGCAAGCGAAAAAAGAGTTGTACTAACTCAATTTGTAGAAAAAAAGTTATATGCATATCATATAAAAGTTATATACGTTACAAGTCATATGACTCAATTTTCTTAGGGAACTCAAATAATAGAATTATACTAAATATATTCATAAGTTAAACAACTCGAATGGCGACAACATGTTCAATCATTTTTTTTCAGCTCGATCGTCTAATTTTTTTTCCTTTCTTTCCGACTGCAACACGCCCGATTAAAATAATATCACGGACGAGAATGGTATTNGTAGATATCATATTTAGTAAGATTTTTTCTTTTAAAAAAATCCGTTTTGATTGCATCTGTTTCAGACTAATTAAATATGAAATTTTATTTAGAAAGATAACAAGATCCGTAATATTGAAAATACATATCTGCAAAATTCTTTTTTGATAAATGTTTCCACCATTAGTAAATATGAAAATAAGCGGTGTATAGAGTATGTAAATTAGCCAGTGTTTTGAACATCAATGATAGTCGAGAAAATGGGAGAAATTCCAAATATACAACCTGACTTATGCTATCTAACTGGCTAAATTAAGAAGTGGAATCAATGAAAAATATAGAATTTTTTATTCAGAAAATCAACGGCGCGCCAATGGCGCTAATAACACACATTTTTGGGGCAAAAGTTGGTTGGAAGCCCCTGAATATAGCAGGTTTTTAATTACATCATGTATCTAACCTAATAATTGTATCTAATTCCAAAGCCATTTTTTAACTATTTAAATAGCCTACATTCTTGAGACTGCTGGGAATGATCCACAAAAAGGAATTTATAAAGAAATAACAGGATTAAGGAGTTCTAACTCAACCATCCTTTTTCTAGTTTTCCCTGCAACCCCACGAACAGTAAAGGGGTAGCATTTAAAGGCAAAATAAAATTCTCATTATCTATTTATTTTTTCATATATAGTAATACATTTTTATTTCTAAAATTCAATTTTTCTTTATTTTAATAAATAATAACAATAAAGTTTATATAATCATTAAAATTCGGCCTGTCATTGAGATGATCATAATGCTTGAATTGTGCACATAAGTTGCATGGTCGATTTACTACCATAATAATATTTGCTCTATTATTTAACTTTTTTTTTGTTTTATGAATATTTCAATATTTTCTTGTGGCCAATTCTTTAATTTTATTAGTTTAGTCACGAATGAATTCTCTTCCTAAAATAATAATAATATGAAAAAATGATCCTTCATTCTCAAAAAAGGTGTAATCCCTTTTGTTTTCCCATTTTATAATCCAAGATTAGGATTTTGTACTGATTTATGGATTGATTTATTGCAGGGTGAAGGGGTTGAAAGGAAAACAGGAAAATTTGTGGTTGAAAGCTACATTTTATCATCAAAGTTATGGCTTTAACTCCTGTTCAATATGCTATGGTTGTGGCCAGCCTAGGCACTGCATCCTTTATCCTTGGAATTTTGGCTGAAATCAAGAAGGTATGTGTGTGTATATATAATATAATGTGTCATGAATGAAAATATATGGATTATCACACTATATATGGACTTATATCATTATTGTTTCATCGCGTGCCATCGCACTCTAAATGCTCCCGTCGACTAAATTTATTGCGATATTATCTAATAAGTAATAAAATTTTTCATTATTGTCTCCATATTTGTAGCCAGCAGCAGGGGAAGCCATTACTGGAAAAGGAGTTATAATATGTAAATATCCATACGATCCTTCGGTGTTCCTCGGATACATCTCGACCGCACTTCTTGTGGCTGCCTCAGTTGCCGGATATCTCTCTCTATTTTACCCTTACAAAGGCAAATCTGTCCCAAGGACTGCGATTTTCAGCTCCAGATGGTGCACTTCTTACATCTCTATTGCATTGTGAGCTAATCTTCATACTTTACTCTTTTCCCACTTCAAATTGTCATTTTACGGACTACACATTCTTCATCAACATATTAATATATCTTTGGGAGTGAAATACTTTGACAGGGGCTCAACAGTGTTTGCTGCAATATTTCTAATATGGCCAACTATACAAGGCCACATCCACCACACCAAAAATGTCCACACCGACCTCGAATTTGACTGTGCCACGGCAAAGACGGGCCTACTCGGTGGCGGTGCCTTTGCCTCCCTAAACTCGTCGCTTTTGTGGTTGGTTGCTCTCATGCTCGCGAACAATGCGCGTGAGGACTACTTTCAAGATGCCGAGTCGAGCGAGCTAATATAATCTTATATTTCCAAGTATCTTTTCTATNTGGTAATGTGATGGATTTTATGGTGGTTTTTGGATGTTTGAAATTGGATTTGTTTGTAAATAGTGTGTTCTAATTTATTAGAGGAGTTAGAATTTAGATTTCATTTGTCAGAATTTATTGGATTCTTTAGGTAGTAATAATCTCTTTATTTTATATGCTTTTACATGTGATGTGGAGATTGGTAGCTTTCTACATTGTAAGTTGAATAATTTAATAAGATGTTAGTGCTAAAATTATTAATTTTTGTGGAATTATTTTTTGAAAACCTCTACTACAACCCTAAAAAAAATGTAAATTCTCTAATGGATCTTGATCTGGACAGTCTAGAAACTCAGAATTTTGGGGAGAAAAAATGTAAATTTTCTAATGTAAATTGTTGGGAAGGAACATGCATTGGCATCACAAAACCAATATTGTACTTCTCCCTCACAAAATGACAATCTATATCCAAGTGCTTAGTGCGCTCATGAAATACGGGATTGACACTAATGTTAATAGATGCCCTGTTGTCAAGCCATAGAAGAATACGATACTCCATTGAGAAGTTAAGGTCTTGTGCAATGTATGACATCCACATTAGTTCTAAAACTATTAAACTCATGGCTCTATACTCGGACTCAACCGATCATTTTGAGATAGTTTGCTACTTCTTGCTTTTCCATGAGACCAAACAACCCCCTAGACAAACACAACGACCTGTAATCGATCTCCTTGTATCCTTAAAAGCTGCCCAATCTGCATAAAGAAAAAAAAAAAAAAAAAAGGAGCCTATTTGCATAGTAAACAAACAATGGTCAAAGGTAGACTGTATCAATCCAAAGGCAGACAATTTTTGACAAAGCTCTAAGTTCCATTCTCTAGAAGCCTATTTCAATCTATACGAACACCTTATCGTCTTACAAACTTGTCTTTGTGTAGCCTTGTTGAATCCTTGAGGTGGTATCATATATACTTCTTCTGAAAAGTGTCCATATAAAAAGGCACTGTTGACATGAAGTTGATATAAATTCCAGCCTTGGTGAACACTTAATGCAATGAGCAATCTTACTGTCACAACTCACAAGCTTAGCAATCGGCGACTAGCAAATCACTTAAACATGACAACTTGCAAAACTAACAAAAAATAATAAAATAAAATAAAATAAAGAAAAGTGGAATTGATGAACTCAAGTTTTTAAGAACCGTCGGGAAACATATTTCAGGCAGTCGGCCATGACTCGGAATCGGCTCACCCATTTGCAAGAATAGTGGAATTGATGAACTCATGTTTTCTCAATTTTTATTTTTATTTTACTTCTAGAAATAGCAATAGTGGTAAATGTTCATATCTACCACAATTATTGGGAAAGGAATGCAAGGGTAAAATTAGAATTTTAGATTTTATCTTATGTCTAATCATATCAAACAAATGCAAAATCAAAAATAATTAACACTATCTGAAAGCTAGTCTTGCACAAGAAACAGAGAACCAATCTAATCTCAACTCAGTACAATCTTGCCTCTCAAAAAAACTTAATCTAGTCACTGACCTTAGAGTATCTATGGGTCATTTTTTTTTTTTTTTTTTTTTNGGGAGGATTATGTTTCCTATAAGAAATTGTGTCCAAATGATCTCCTAGTGTTGAACTGTTGCAGGCCAAATATCACTATTGTCTTGTTTAATTTTATACATTTATAATGATGATAACTGAATTATTTGATATTATTGTGTATTTTTTTATTATAATAATTTTTATAATAAAAATAATTAAAAATGCACAAAAAACAACTAAAAACTACTCAATTTGAAAGTATCTATTTTTTTTCCACATTACAACCATGATCATATGGAAACCACTTTTGAATTCAAAGAGACAAATAAACGAACAAATAATTCATAATCCTTCACATAGGCACATATAAATAAACCCAAAAAAATACAAAAGAATTCTCATCCCAACAAAATCCCACTCCTTTGTTCAATGCATGTGTAGAGAAGAAAAAATCAATATTCCCATTTTTAAACTCGAAATTGCCAGGGCAAAGTCTTCAAATCCACATCCCCATAACTGTTGGTATTCCCACAATCGCCCCTCCTCTCCACGTAGGCATAGTAATTCAAAAAGAAGGCCAGCGTCAGAACTGCCCACTCCAGGCAGAAGATCGCCGCGCACAGCCCGCCGGCGAGCTTCAGTATGACGACGGCGTCATCTTCCCGGACGTACGACTTGAGGTGGCCCAGGAAGTCCGAGGGCCCGGTGAAGATGAGGACGGAGACGGATCCCTGGAAGATGGCCGTGAGGACGGTGGCCACCATGTGGGCACCGTACAGCCTGGATCCACCGCCGCGGGAGGCGGCGGCGCAGCCGAACACGGCTCCGGCGATGGTGATGGCGTGGAGAAGGACGAGGAGGGCGCCGGAGAGGGAGGGGATGAGGCGGAGGGAGAGGGTGAGGAAGGCGCAGCTTGAGGCGGCGCCGATGAGGGCGTAGTTGGTTAGGAGGAAAACCTTGTGGGTGGTTTGTGGGGCCGAGTCGCCGCCGCTATTCACCGACAGACCCATTTGATTAAATTGTTTATTTTTTAAAAATTCACCGGAGATTTATCAGAGAGAGAGAGAGAGAGAGTTGGTGATTTTAGGAGTGAGGATTGAGGCGGAGAGAGGGATATATCATATATAGCGGCGTAGATGGGGGCGGCAACGGTCATAATTGGTGGGGCCGGAGCAAGAGCTCCCAACGGATATATGAAAATATTTATATATTTGACAATGACTGAATTTTATTGTTTTTTAAAGTTCACGTCCTCTTATCATATCTTAATTGCAAATTAAACCTAATGAGTAATGAGATATGAATATATAATTGAATATACATATGATGGGGATCAATGAAGATGGTACATTTTTTCTTTTTTTGCTACAATAAAGGGAGGCCTAGGCTTAATGAGCGTTAAGATGGTACATTTTCAAACTTAAGCTAAACCGTTGAGCAGTTCTGTCTAGTTGTTTTAAATTTTTAAACGTTACATCACAAAAAGGTGTATTAGTGATGACTATCATGTTGACACACTTAACCAAATTATGAAGACTAATGTAATTATTGACTATCAACATTTGACTCGTTAATCTTCATTATATTTAACTAGTATTCGATTATATGCATTTGTACAGATGTAAATAAAGTATTATCAATTATTTGTATGCATATCATTAAAATTATAAGTTAGATAATTGTATTATATTTTAACATAAAGTATTATAAGTAATATTTATTTATTTAATATTGAAATTATAAGTTAGATAATAGTATTATGTTTTAAAATTTGATCACTGGTTAAAATAAATATTACATAAGTATTTGATTGCATCTGAATCACTATATTGATTGCATAAAATGTTATAAATAATGTATTTTTTATAATTTTGAGGGATGACCAATTAATTAGTTAAAAAATATTAAATTTATTATAACAATTGCTTACGCGTTTTTAAGGGATTTTACTATGACATTAAAATAAATTCTTTAATGAAATAGTTTCTTATCAGATATAAAAATATAATATTGATTTTAGAATAAATAACTTGAACATAAAGTTTTACAATATAAATTTTTATGTTTATGTAACTTTCATATATCATTTAATGCAAAACATAATTATGAATTTTAATAATAACTAGTATATGATACAATAAAAAGTATAATTATTACTCAATTAATATAAATTGCAACAGTTTTTATCTTAATTAAACCTCCGAAAAAGGTGCAATAATGAAAGATTTATTCATCAATGAGATTGAGTGGATTAATGTAGTAGTAGTAATAATAATGATGATGGATTGTAACGGAAAAAGACGGAAAACAACAAATAGTTTTATTAAATTTTTTGTTAGTTATTATATATATAGATATAAGGTTTCATATGAGAAAGAGAGATAGTGAAAGAAATAAGAATGATTATGGGCCATTGGATCTATCATATCAATGGATCTAATGAAGTCAAAATTTATTAACAATGGTCAAACCTGATGTGGCAAAATTGTAAATATGTGATTATACCATGGTCAAATAAATACATAAGAGGGCAATGATGTAATTTCAGCAACCCATGGGCCCCACTCATAAACCACCCCACCAATACCAAGATCCCACATTCCCACGCAGTACTCTCTCTCTCTCTCTCTCTCTCACACACACACACACACACACAAACACACACACAGACGCACACAAACATAGTCACACATAACACACACATTTTCCCGTCCGCCGGCATCCCGCGTCTCAGTCGCGTGATGAAGATGTGGTCATCGACCATTCCGAGCCTACCACGGTCCGCCGCCGCAACAACCATGCCGGTCCGGGCCGGCGTCACCACCAGAGCCGCTGCCGCTACAGTATGTCAACTCCATCATGAAGCTTCTCTGTCGGCGAGAGATCCCACCAGGAGGAAGAAACACGACTGATCTAGCCCGAGCTCGTCGTCGGAGTTCATAAATCATTTGATCCCTTCGAAAGTTTCGTTGACGAGAAAGAAAAATCGGGGGCTGGGGCTCGGGAGGCAACTGGACGGCCGCGTCTATGACGGCGACATGACCGGCGGGACGGTGGGGGGTGGAATCGGCAACGCCGGCAACGGGCTGGGAGTTGTGAACTGTTATTGGGGATGGGGGCTTTCAAATGAAATTTGATAAGTTTTAGGGACTTATATGCAATTTCATAATTTTTAATATATTAAGATTTAATACTTGAGAAAAATATGTAATTTAATACATTCCCAATAATAATAAATGAAGTTTCTAATAATGTGCAACCTAACATATATACATTAATATGCAATTCATATATCTATCTTGTGCAATGTATCGGTCCCTATTGTGTAGTATACCGACCGATCTTATGTCTTGAACCAATTTAAAACCGACTAAAATTAATTAGTTTATTTGATCGTTAATCAAATAAACTAGATTAATTGAATTAAAATATTATTTATATTATAAAATCATATTTAGTATTTTAATATTTTTATCTAACATTTTTTTTGGTTGAAAAATATAAAAAAATAATATGTGTATACAGGTTGGACGATTCCATTATTTCGATTATTATAAAAAATAATGCTTACGCCGTACCGAAATAACTAAAATTTAAATGGCAAAAAAGATTAATCGAACCGAATTATAAAATTCGAATTAAAAACTTAGTTCGATCAACTTTGGTCGGTATAGTGCAATCTAACAGTCACTAATGTGCAACCAGTTTAACACGAATGTGCACTCGAACCAAAATAATCGAGTTTTTTAATGTATAAAAACCAAATCGAACCAAAATATAAGATTTTGAATTGAGATTTTATTTTTCGATATTGTGCAAATCTGATAGTCATTAAAGTGCAATTCGTACAACAGTATGGTGCACTCCAAGTGTAATTGTTGGTTTATTTTATGCATGGCGAAAGGGAGCGCTGGTTCTGAACAATTGGCGATCTCAGACGTACCATGGTGACTTTTGTCACAACTCAAACTAATTTCAAACCGAAATAATTAGTTTATTGGATCGATTAATCGATTTTTTTTTAAACCGAAATAATTGTAATAATTTATTATTTATATAATAAAAAATGTTCTTACATTCAAGCCGTTTTCTTTCATGCTTTTCCCGGAGGTCTAGAGAAAGCTGCAATCAATAGGATTTCCCTAATCCTCAATTTCTTTGAAACACTTGTTTGATTTTGTTGAATTGAGATATCTGGAAATAATATTGTGAATTATTTCTTCAGACTTCGAAGTCGAGTCGGAGTCTACTTCTGTGTATTCTTTCGAGATTCAACCGAAATAACAAATCAAATAGATTCATAGCTTTGATCCCTTGTCTCGAAATGATATTTGAAAGAAAGATTCATTATATTATTTGTGGTTGAAGAGAGATAATATATAAAATACAAAAATAATATTGTGCATTCCTACGGTCACTAATGTGCGGTTGGTATAGCATTATCTATCATTATATAAAAAGAATAACCTTTTTACAAATTTAGAAACATTTTCCCGCCAAAATTATTAAATATATCCTACATATAGTAATTGTTGGACAAATCTAAATAGGCAAAAAAATCGGCTCATTAATTGTGTAAAGATTTGTTTCTCTTTTTCCTGTTTTTTAGTTTATCAAAATCGTTGTTTGACAATAAATATAACAATAAATATTTGTTTTTCTTTTTCCTATTTTTTAGTATAAATCTACACGAGCTTATCTCTTCTGTTACAAAAACTCATTGCATACTTCTCACGTGTTTAAAAAATCTCATCCCTTATCTATACAGATTTGAAAAAATAAAATAAAATAGAAACCAATTCATAATTGCTACTAGAAATCCATTATCTTTAAAAAGAAAAAATAAAATAAAATAGAAACCAATTCATAATTACTACTAGAAATCCATTATCTACTTTAAGAAGCTAATTTTCATCGATCTAATTACTAATATTTTTACAAATATTATAAGCTAACCATACAAAAAAGTATAATAATAATTTTGAAATGGTGTGTAATCAAATTTTTTTATATTCTCTTATACAAAATAATTTTGCATTGTCTGACCCCAAATCTTTAATTTATAATTATTAAGTATTGTTTATCCTCTTCTTTAATTTATAATTATTTTTTTCTTCCTCTTTTTAAATAGGATTAATAGTAGTTTCCACTTCCGCCATTGAGTGACTCAAACTCGAGCTCTATTTATAATAATGTTAATTTAATATTGTTCCCGTGCATCGCACGAAGTACACACTAGTGAGATATATGTGTTATGAAAATTATAAATGACATGTATGTATCTCTCTAGCTAATCTATATATATTTAATTACTAGCTAATAGCATTTAAGAAAAACCTATTTAATAAAACCTCTAAAATTTTTCCTCCATTTTCGGTTACAAACTTGATCATTAATGTTTTTTACTTCTCACATCAATACATCCTATTGAGTGTAATCATGTATTTTTCTATTATATTATATAATAATTAATGCTAACACCAACTAATAGTAATTCACAATAAATATAAATTGCATAATTATAAACAATTATTTCAAGTTATTTATTTTAACATCAATATTATATTTTTCTTTTGTATCTCATGAAAAAATTTCTTTAAAAACAATTAGTAAATTGTTTTAATAGCATAGTCAAACAACTTTAGAATCTTATAAACAATTGTTTTTGTAATAATAATAATAATAATAATAATAATAATAATAATAATAATAATNTTGCGGGGGGTCTCCGTGAGAAGGCCGCGCAACGGGGAGGGCTCGTCGTCGAAGACAAGAGCTGAGACAAGAAGTACGGATGGATGGTTTCTTTCATGTCTAGTCAGGTCTCGAGAGCGAGTGGAAGATAGATCTGGAATGTCAAGAGCCGGAGACGACATGCAAGTGAGTAAGTAGGGCAGTCGTCAGAGCTGTAGTCATTGTCAGTAGCAGAGGCTAAAGTCCTTAGCGCACGGATTGATCCTTAGTGATCCGATACCGATTCCCGCGTTTCAGATATACTCCAACATTGGGCGAAGCATTTTGACTCAGCACTTGACCATGGCCCTAGGAGCAAATGAGAGATAAAAAACCCTAGAGGGGACGTTTTTTGTAAATTACACATTTGAATCCATGGACACAATTGCAATATATTAAAAGTTTGGAAAATGCACTCAAATCCCTAAGTGTTATTAAATTTCAAACTCCCGTCCCTGCACTATAGACACACAACCACCTCCCGCCTGCAATTTTCCCTGCACCTTCACCACCCGCCGCGCTCCGTCAGCTTCCGTCGCCCCACTCCACAATGGAGATTAGAAATGGCAGTGACATCTCGGGTAAGATTGTTCTGTTGAGGGATGAATAGACCCTGTCGGAGGTGAAGTAGTCGGAGTTATACAGTATATGGAGTGGCGCGGACGACGACTTCGACAGTGGACGACGGCTTCGACAGTATACAGTAAAAGACTATGAGTTTTCCACAGACGACGCCAATTTGTTGCGCAAATTGTCCTATGATCCAGTTTGAACCATAATTCGCTGCTTTGAACTGCCTTGACGTCTCCGATGACCTACAAAATGCCAGGATGGATCCCAACGAAAAACACTCTGATGTCCAAGTCAGTTAACGTTTAACAACAATGCGGCAATAGGGTATTTTTTGCGCGTGTATGTGTGTGTTGTGTAACAGATAATAACCTGCATCCCTTTTATAGGCAAAGTCAAGTGGTGGCAAAGAACTCCTATTGAGCAAGAAGTCTTCTTGTGTCTTCCTCTTAATCAGGCTACTGAATATTCAGAGTCCTTGACGATATAAACTCCCTTGAGATTTTCATCCCTTCTTCTTCTCACGACTTAAAGCCCAAAATTACTCCTATATCCTCAAGTCAAATTCTCAGTGTAGAGGTTCTCGCTAAACCTGCACGTCGAGCTCCTCTAGACAAACACTCTGTTACCCAGCCGAGCGTATAACTCAATCTCCGCCAGTTATGGTGTCAAGTCCTTACTGAGCTTGTCCGAGACGAGCTCCCAAATCCCTCACTAAATTGATATGGCACCAAGCAGATGTGAGCAGACGAACCTCCTTTCTACAGGCACCGGTCGAGCTTTGTAATCCCACACATGAGCTCCTCTTTTTCTGGACCATACCTACCTTCTGAGCCCAAACTGTAATCCCACACATGAGCTCCTCTTTTCCTGGACCATACCTACCTCCTGAGCCCAAAAGGATTTCTTCGAATACTATTGACGAGGTCAGCCCGGAAACTAAACCTCCCACATCCGTCACCTAGTGAGGTACTAAAGAGAACCTTTCAATCGAGCTATTTCGTCTTGCTATATCAACTTGTATCATCATGCACAACATGATAGTAAAAGATGAATGAAACACCTACTTAAAATATTATAATCCCACAAAATTTATGAAGGATAGGCCTACAAACGGACGGAGGCAACGGCGGAAGAATAGAAGAAATTGAATAGAAGAAGAGGATGATGATATACCTTTTCAATACTCGACTGAAAGAATTACAAACCTATCCACATATATGACTGACAGGCCACAACTTCGTAATAGAAAAGCTCATGTGAATCTAAAAAATAACTTAATTGAGCACATATGAGAAAAATTTGGTAATGGTAATTGATGTGTGATTTCATTTGAAATGTTTGTAACTTGTTTAATTAATTTTAATATTTTGTTTCTAACTTTTGTAATTTCATTTTTTAATTGGCTTCGTATTTTTATTAATTTTATGGTAAAATATTAATTTTTTTAAATCATTACGACTTTAATTATAGATTTTTTAATTAATTTATCACATCTAAAATAATAACAAAAACCAATTGTGGATAATACTTAATAAATAACTATATTAAAATAAAATAAAATAAATATTTTAAGTTGAATTTTATTGTGAATAAAAATAATGTTTTGTTTTAAATCTAAATTAATTAATTTGATTAGGTTGGGTTGGGTTGTGTTCTGAGTAAAAATGATCTAGACTCTAGAGTCCATATTCTAATGTGGAGTCCAGTTGTAGATGCCCTCATGTTGAGTCCATATTCATTCCGTGGCACATGGCACGGGGAAGCCCGGCCCAATCGGAAAAGCATATCAAATAGAATCCTAAAACTAATCAAACAAAGTCAGCACTCAACAAACAGCCGTAATGTATATAATAATACCACTGCCCTCAATCTTCTTCCTCAACCACTTCCTCTTCAGCAGGCGTTGAATCTTAGTAGGTAGACAAGGAGACCTATTTCGTCCTTGCAATCATTTTTTTCCTCATCCATAGGCAATTACATTTTTTAATGATTCTTGCTATGTATTTTTTTTTTTCTTGACTTCGTGATTTATTTTTCCTCGTTTTAATTTCAAGATCCAATTTTTATGTTTTCACTTTTCACCCTGTTACGATTTGCTA